AGAGCATGAATAGGAGATCTAGTGTGTGTTTGTGTGCAAAGAGAATTCAGAATGTATATAGGGATTTAGTGTGTGTAGATCATTCAGAGTTGTGTAAGGGATCTAGTATGTGTCTGGAATGTATTGCGTGTATGAAGGGTGCTGTGTGTGTGATGTGTGTGTGGATGTTGTGTGCGTGTGAGGTGCGTTTTGTGTGTGTGAGGGGTTATGCTGTGTTTGTGTGGTGCTGCATGTGAGGGTGCTGTGTGTGTGAGGAGTGCTGTGTGTGTGTGTGTGTGTGTGTGTGTGAGGAGTGCAGTGTGTGTGAGGGGTGCTGTATGTGCAGTGTGTGTGTGAGGGGTGCTGTATGTGCCGTGTGTGTAATAATGCTGTGTGTATAAGTGAGGGGTGCTATGTGTGTGTGTGTGAGGTGTGCTGTGTGTGAGGGTGCTGTGTGTTGGGGTAATGCTGTGTGTGTAAGAGAGGGAGCTGTGTGTGAGGGGTGCTATGTGTGTGTATGCGAGGGTTGCAGTGTGTGATGGTGCTGTTTGTATGTGATGTGTGCAGTGTGTGAAGAGTGCTGTGTGTGAGGGGTGCTGTATGTGAGGGGTGCTGTGTGTGAGGTTGCTGTGTGTGGTGGGAGGGTGCGGTGTCTGAGGGGTGTTGTGTGTGAGAGTGAGGTGTGTGGGGGTTGTTCTGTGTTAGGGTGCTGTGTGAGTGTGTGTGTGTGGGGTGCTGTGTGTGAGGGTGACCCTTCCTTCCTACCTTTAGCCTGAGAGGGGGAGCCAGAGCTCACCGGGTCCTGCTCTTCTTTCCTCCCTCCCCAGCCGGCGAACCGCATGTCAGTGCCACCGGCCAATGAAGGCACACAGCAGGGCCATCGCTCGGATAGTGCCGGCTCTGCATGGGCCGACAGGGGAGATCTTCTGATTTGCCCAGTATGCCCGATGGTCAGTCCGGGCCTGCTGATGGTTAGGGGACAGTCAATAAATTTAAATTTTATTCACATATTAAGTGAGAGGTGAGTAATAGAGAGAAAGAAGGGGGCAGAGTAAAACATATATATATATATATATTTTTACATATTATTTAATAAATATATCATATATATATAAAAATAATTGCTGAACCGTTATTCCCTTAATTAGTTCATTCTGCTCACTTGACGTATGAACCAATTGATGGGTAAATGTGTTTATCGATGTACTACAAAATATGGCATTGACAAAATTTCTTCTCAACCGAAATGCCACATGGACGAAACCCAAATTGACCCAAACAATTTTTTTTTTGTGAACAAATTGATTTCTATGAACTATATTTTTGCCATGCATGACTCTAACATTTTGTATGATCTTTGTCAGCACTCCACAACACATTATTTGGTTATTTCACCTGTGGCCCTTGATGGGTTAAGATGCCAGTGTGTATGCGTGAGAAATAGGAAAGCAATGTAATGAATTGCCTGAGATCTATGACGTGGCGTTAGCACAACGAGGAATGACAGGCTTTCTATTAAAGAGGTTCTGCATCAGGTGGTTTTCCAGAAGAACGAACCTATGGAATTTTCTTCCCCGTTGTTATATTTAATGGAAATTCTGAGTGATGCCCCTGTGTGTAAAGCTGGTTTTCCATAAAGCAACTGAAACAAAGTCTCTTCTTATCCACCTCTCCCGGCAACTTTAAGGTATCCTCTCCTGGCAACTTTAAGGTATCCTCTCCCGGCAACTTTAAGGTTTCCTCTCCCAGCAACTTTAAGGTATCTTCTTCCTGCAACTTTAAGGTTTCCTATCCCGGCAACTTTAAGGTATCCT